CCACACATATTAATTTGTAGTTATTCTAAATATTTTATGAGTTAAGCTTCATTCCACTCCATTATGCACTAAAAAGAGAACAAAATAGCTACTAATGTCATAGCTAAGTGTTTTTACTTGCTATAAATTCCATCCACCATCATGTGACTAGACAACACATGCTCCACAAAAATAAGTGCTTCTGCTCATCACACCTCCTTTACTGAAGTGACTTCTATTTCTGTTGATTAACTGTGAACACCAAAGCATAAAATATAGCGGCTTCAGTTACCTGAACTGCTCCATTCCTCAACAGTCACATGCAAACCTCGATACTTAGCTGGGACTCAAGATACTTACAGCTAGGAAGGCATCCAAAATCTGACAGTAAGGAAACTCCTTTCAAATTCCCCATGTGCATTATTCTTGTACTCATCCATCAAATTACCCTTCTGTACACCAAGTTTTTAACCCAAAATCACAGCTGAATCTTCAGTTTATGACCCTTCCTCTCCTCCAAGAATTAGCCCCAGGGAATGTCTAAGCAGCTGCTATCTCCCTTTTCTGCCATTACTAAGATACAAAAGCCAGAATAGTCTAAGTTTTGGTCTCTCATCTAACTCTAGACTGTTCAAACTATATGATCTTTGTAGCTTGGACATCCATCTACATGTTCCACTAGGATTTAATATTTTCTATATATAAGTGCCCAGAACTATGTACAGTATTTGACACAAAGTCACCCTAATACCTTGCATAATAACTTGTCTACTTGCACTGAAAAGCTCTTCCTGAGCATCACGTTTGCTCCCATTTCACGGTCAGTATCAAATAAGAGTCATCCCTGTTTGTCTATGGTGATCAGGTCTTTTCCTCCAAACCTGTTTTAAGGGATGACTTGCCAGCTGATAGCAAATGTGTTGTTAATAATCACTCAGTAGATAACTTTGCTTTTAGAGCTACTCAACTTCCTGACATTCCTATTGTTTCAGTCATCACAGACATTCAATTCTTCCTGTCCAATAATCCAACCCACCTTGGTGCTGACTATGTTTCCCAACTTGGCCTCATCAGCAATTGTCCTTCTCATATAGTTATTTCAGCCAGTATGGTGAAGTAAAGAGACCTGCTACCCACTAATACTGATGCAGGGCACGAATAATTCCTTTATTCAGGAAGGCAAAGTCATAATTTCACCTTCAGGAGACACCTTTAGCTAAGCCTCACACTTCCAATGTAGTTATTTTTGGTGTATATACATGGAACTGAAGCCTTCTGCTCCTATTGTCTAGGACATTCAGTATTTAAACAGTAATATGACTTTAGCCTCCCATGACCTAATTGTGACAAATACATTATACTCTTTATCCTGTTTTCCACTTAGCTTTGTATACTTAATTACTTTTTCAATTCCAAATTTATTCCAAATCATTGAATTCTATTGTGACTAGAGTAAAAGGTGTGAAGATATTCTTCTCTTCTCCTTTTAAAAGAAATGGAACTATATATCTTTTGCTATCTTGCTATCACAACTGCTACCTTCAGCCTAACAGATAACACCCAATTCTATTTTTTAACCTGGCTCCAGTGCCCTGCATCAGCTCTTTCAGATCCCAAAAGCAGAGACCCTTAGATTTAGTTTAACTGGGAGCAGACATAAGACATTTATTCCAGTCATTTCCATTTGGCACCCTATCTTTCTCCCATATTCAAATCCACATGCATATCTAAAACTAAACAACTAAAACAAGAAGTGCTAATTTTAGAGGCATCAAGCATTTTTCATACAGCCTGGTCCTCACAACATCATAGCCAATTTCTCTTCTGCTCTTTTTCTTTTTTTTTCCCCCTCTCTTCGTCTTAAATTTCTTCATCCTCTAGCTTTTGGCACTTCATATGCTATCCCTGCAGTTTCTGCTCTCCAACAATCAATCCTCTCCTTTACTTCATTCTTTTAGGTTTTCTGGTAGCTTGCAGTATCTTATTCTCACAGCAAGGTCCACAGCCCAACTTGGCAAGCTTTTCCTTCTCCTTAAAACGCAGTTTCCAAGCAGCTATTGTACCTTACACTTAAGACACTCCAAGCTTTTTTTTTTTTTTTTTTTTAATTTAAACCTCCAGCTCCTGCAGGCCTTTAACTCTGTGGACAACACAAACTAGTTCTTCTAACTTCTCAGAACTTGCCTTACTAAAATAAAGCTTCCTTGAAAGAACAACACTTTGTAGTTGACATATACTTTATCCTTAATTTTGATTCAGAATTATTAACTTGTGGCTGATCAACACATGTGCTTAGGGCCTTATGGAAGGGAGCCATAATCTAGCAGCAGAAAACAAGATATACTGTCAGCCAGTGAGAGACCGGAGACGTTCCAGAATTTAAAGATATACTCTCTAGTTCTGGGCAGGCTGTAAACATAAGCCTTCATTTACTCTGCATTCCACTACAATTAATGGCCAAAATCTACCCTGTGATAATTCAGTGTATGACTTCTAACTTAACTAGTCAGCACTGGGGAACATACTTACAAAAGCCCTTTTGAGAAACACCTTCCCTTTACACACTAGCACACTATCCAAAATTAGCTCTGTACCTCTGAGCAATCAAAACGCGTTTGCAAAATTGTATCTTACAATTTGACTCACTTTTGCCACAGTAAATCAACCTTAGACCTCCAGATTTTGAAACAGAAGCATGAACCTTTAACAGAAAACCATCTCACATCCAGTAGGAAGACTGTACCTACATTAGGTGCAGCAACAACTGGCTCTTCAGCATGGTCACCACAAGCCTAAGAGGGGCAGATAAGGAGGGTGCAGGTGGCCAGCTGCTACAACACAACACAGAAAGAACATCTCTAGCAACGTGACAGTGAATGATCTCCACAAGAACCTGGAAAACATGGTTTCCCTCTTAGCTTTAGTTTGTGATACAATTCGCTTAACATGGATGCACTGGCATGAAGGCAGCCTAGGCCTTCTGTGCAGCAGAGTGAACTTGCTGGCACAGGCTATCAGTCCCATCGAGGCAGTAAATCACACTCACCACCACATTCCTGGTATACCTGCACCTACATGGCAGCACACAGGCACCTGCCTGCTGCCTCCTGAAAGCCAGAGGGGAAACTCAGTACCGCAGCATGAAATATCAACTGACATGCTAAGTTACCAACCCACATGAAATGGGGGCCCTGAGCGGGCACACAGCTCCGTCAGCTCCAACAGCCCCACAGCAAGGGCTGCCCACCATCCATGAAGGAGTGATGGTGGTCTCTTTATCCACCACCCTTGGCCACCAACACCATCATGTTCATCTCCCCCTGGAGCACCTCCAGGCTGCTGGTGGCCTTCCGCTCTCATGACCAGTATCACCAGTTTAAGCCAAGCCTTTCCAGCAGCAGAGTGGGTGTTCTGCCATCCTCCTAATTAGGGAGCATGGCACTGGACACCTTGAAAAAGCAAGTCATTGTTAGCCATGCACGAGGAAACAGCATCCTAGTTTTCACTCCAAAAGTGCTTAAAAGTGTTTTATCCTGTTAATTCTAGGTCAGTTGAGCACACGTGTGGTATGGATTACACTGACCCTTTTAGAGCTCTCAACATTTTTAAGTAAGTAGGACACTTAACATCAGATGCCCATAAAGCTGCATACCTCCTGTACATCACACACCAAGATCTGCCAGTGGGCTTTAAGACACAACTAAGGAATAGCTGCTTTATAAGGCATGGCTCTTATAGCACACAAATAGAAATGTGAAATAATTTATAAATGCCAAGTCTGACCCTGTACCACATTAAATCAATACAGGCATTTTACAAAAAATGCCTCCATTGGATGAACTGAAGTGACCTTTGCAAAGCCACCCAACAAATCAGGACCAGATATACAAACAGTAGAAGTATTTAGCACAGCTCAGTACAGCTGAGTGATAAAAGGGTCTACATTAAAGATAAAAGTTGTCCTGATGCTTACAAAATGCAACCACATTGTCATTGTAAGCACAAAGAATATGTTTCATCCTTAAATATCTGAGTATCTATAGACTTTAAACACGAGGAACAATCAACATGCAAAGGACCATAAAATTCAAGCCTAAAAAGTTAACACTACAATTCACTGGAGATGTTAATTTGCCAGTGCCAGGTCTTTGCAAGTTTTAACCTTTTTCTCTGCACTATCAGCAGCCATATGTTTTAGACCCTTAGACACAGATAATCCCATTGCGTTCTCTCTTTTTCACTGATGCCTGTCCTGAGCGAGGGAAGGAAGACGTGCAGGGAAAAATCCCAACACATTTAATTACCTTTTGGAGCAGCCTCCTTCCCTCGCCCAGCTAAAGTTTTCTTGAGGTCAGATTAGCGCTCCGAAAGGAGAGCAGGCGCCGGCAGGCCCCTTGGCAGGCGGTGCTGTGACAGACGCGGGGCAGACCCAGGGGAGGCAGCCATGTGCTCAGCCCCGCATCCCCCCGAAAGGGCATCCCGGGAGGAAGTTCCCACTACGCACCGACTCGGGGAAATAACACGGAGGAGTCCAACAGCTATCGCTTCCAGCGGCTTTCTCCTGGGCCATATGCTTTCCCCTGCCATTTAGCGAGGCATTTCAGACGAGCCAAACCGCCCTACCCGCTCCGCCGCGAACCCGCTCGCGGGCTGAGGGTCGGAGCCGCCGCCCCGGAGGCAGCGGGCGAAGCCGGCTGGGCCGGTGGGGCACCGCCGCGGCACCCACCCCACGGAGCTGAGCTTCGTCCCCGCTGGGAGCCGCCCGCCCGCCGACCCCCGGGGCTGGGCTGGGCAGGCAGGGCTGGGCGGCTCCTGCTGCAGCCCCCGGCGAGGGCGAGCCCCCGCCCGGCCCCAGGGCAGCGCGGCGCCCCGGCCCCGCTGCAGCCCCTTCGCCGGACACCCGCCGGGGCTGGCAGCGCGGGGTCCCGCCCGCCCCGCTCCCGGGGCCGCCCCCAGCCAGCGGGGGAGCCGCGGGACGGAGCCGCCCTCGGCCCCGAGCCGGCGCCGCGCCTCGCCCTTACCGTCCTGGCCAGCGCGGCGCGGGAGCCCCGGGGAGGAGCGGGGCGAAGCCGCGGAGAAACGCGAGGAGCCGGGGCCGAGAACACCGCCGCCGCCGCCGCGAGCAGAAGGCGGAGGGGGCGGAGGATCGGCGGCGGAGGGAGGAGACGGGGGCGGGGAGAGCCCGGGTCGCTGGCAGCCGCCCGCCCGCCGCGCAGCCGGCGCTTCCTCCCGATGCGCTGCCGAACCGAGCCGAGTCGAGCCGGGCCGGGCCGGCGGGGCAGGGAGCCCGGGGCGAGCGCTGGACTCGCCCCTTGCCCGGCCCGCTCCCACAGAGGGGACCCGCCGCTGCCGCCTTTGTTCGGCTGAGCGGCGCCGGGAGGGGCGAGCGGCGGGTGGCGCGCTGGGCGCTTCTCCCACGCGGAGATTGTTCCTCCGGCACTGGCAGACGCGGAGCAACTTCACCGGAGTTAATTTTGTGTCTGTGATGAAAACTCCTCCACCTGTGCCAAACGCTGCTCGGCATCCTGCACTAAAGTCAGCCTACGCGCGGTGCTACAGCTGCCTGTTTATGCCTCAGGAGCTGACTGGTGACTCCTGTTAAATTGAGGGTGGGTTTTTTTATTGCTCAGGGTAGATGGCATCGCGAAGATTGGTATCTTAGTATTCTGTGCTTGGCAGCAACCAAGAAGAATTGAAAAACCAATTTCAGATATACCTTTGCCCCATTGTCTGTGGTAGGTCACAGATCTTTCAAACGTAGCTAATCATATTGATCTACATGTCCAATTAAGGTACTCTTCTCAAAGCGGTTTTCTAAATTTTTTTTCCCCACTGTATTTTAGTGCTCATCCTATAAATCTTCTCCAAGCTTACCGATTTAGTCATTCAGGTCAGGTACCTAAGGTCAACACATACAGGCCTGCCACGCCAGTTAAAAGAGTGGAAGTGGGAGAATTTCCCCTCATTTGCATCTACCTTAGAAGAAACTGACAAAAATACCCTTCTATGAGGCTTTCTCTGAAGGATAGTTAGACTTTAGTCATTTGCATAGAGGTGGAATTAGCAGTCACTATATAGCCACAAGTGGACTCTTAAGAAGGCAGCAACAAAAATGGACTACCCTAGGGTTGTTATAAGCAGGAGTAAACTCTAAGCAGCCTCTTTTAAAAGGTCTTTTCACATAATGTTCATTAAGCCCCAGCAGTTAAAAGATCCCACCTGGGAGCTCTCACTATGCAGAGTTCTGCTTCCCAGACTGAGAGAGGCTGAGTAGCACAGGGCTTTAGATGTTAAGCCAGCTCCTCAGGTTTAGTACTAGACCATGTTGCATTTTTGTGCTCTAAAGAAGCAGATGATTTATCAGTTCCCCTAGCTAATTCGCTAGAAATTTTCTGCATGGTCCGTGGAGTATGTGAGGAAGGAGGGGAACCTGTGGTATGTGAGCTCTTCCGCATTACCCACACGAACCTTCTGCTTCCTGCACGTGTTAGCATAGCTAAATCAGAAAAAGGGAATGAAAAGTATGTGAATCTGAACATTTACTCCTGTAGCTGTGTTGTAGGGGGAATAATTTTTTTGTTTTATCTTAAAATTTAAAAACTATGTGCTTGGGGGTAAAAAGTCTGAAAATGTAAAATAGTGTAGTAAGCATGAAGAAGCCTGCCTAAGACATCAGTCAGCCTTAAATAAAGCCAGCATGCTAGAGGTGTAAGATACGTCCTAGGTGCTGTTGAGATCTGCTTGCTGCATTATGCACTAGGGCCAGAAGCCAACCATCAGCCCTGCACCTGCACTGGATGGAACCTTTGCCACACAATGGCATAGTCATTTGTCACATGTCCAATCCACAGGCATCCCACTTCTTGTGGCCAACTTTTACAGGATGTGCATTGTGCCCTTCACTCTTTAGGCTGGATGTATGTAGTAAGGGGAGGATGCAACTGTAATGTGAAATTAGACGACCTGTTCTGGCCAGGAAATTTCCCAATTCCTAGTCAAAACAGAGGCTTATCAATATTTTATGTTCAGATGAATATGAAGACATTTGCTAAGGCTAGGTGCATGTATACCAGTTCTGTTGTGCCCTTTCTGACAAAACAAACAAGAACTATGGAGTTGTTTCTTACACTACTATCTGGTAAGTTTTTCACACCCAGACATCAGATGATAAATAGCTTTATTTAAAGTATGCCACACTGTGCAGCTGCTGCCTCTGGGAAGAAGTATGGAATCATACAATTAATGCTTCACATTTTAATATTGCTAAATTATCTTTGTTCTCACTCTCAAGACTAGTGACAGAAACCTCAGACAGATGACCAATGCATTGAAGCAGTGGTGAGAGGTCTTCCCACTGCAAGGCAAGCTGCAGCCTTGAGCTCATCATGAATGGACTTTATCAAAAAGTGCCAGATCCCTTTAATGAAACCAGCACTCTGGCCCTAAGATGACATTTAAAGGTGCATTAAATGATTATCTTCATACACAAACCTTTGTATTTAAAAACATAATAACCCCAGATTTATAAATCATATCTAAGACAAGAAACTAATTTTATAAACATGCATATATCCAATTAAATTTGTTCAATAAGGCTGCTAAATAGCAGTAAAAATTGTCCATAAGAAATTGTGTTGTCTGGAACTAAGTCAAGAACCCCTGGAAATGAACATGATATTATCACATTCCAGACTGATTTCTTCTTTGTGCTTTCCAAATAACAGATTATTAAAAACTGCATTAATCCTCTCAGTCCATTAAAATATTTTACAACTTTCAAAACGTTTTGAGATGAAAAAAATTAAACCCCCGCCTATTGATCATAACTCTCTTCCTAAATCCATAAAATTTAGAATAAAGCATTTATTGCTCTAATCAATTGGTTTACTCAGAAACAGCTGACACCACTTAAAATCATGTTAATTAACACAGGTTCTCAAGGTCCAGTTCTAATGCAGACAGGCTGTGTCCACCTTAAACAAAGCCTCGTTATTGTTCACGCTACTTGAATCTGCCATTAACAGTAAGTCTCCATCTCACAGCTGCTGCTAAACCTAAGGCCTGCTTGCATTTAAAGAGGATTTCAGTTCTGGTTTGGCACAGTATATGCTATTCACAAAGTCACCTGTAACTGTAAGAATGACTGAGAACAAAGCCAATCATTTTCCACTTGTTAGCTCTAAAATCCCTGCTGTGGAAAGTTTGGGGATTTGATATGTCTTCCTTGTGTAGACTTATGTGTAATGCTCAAATACATTAAAAAATGCAGACTGCTGCCTGAATTACTTGCAGCACTCAGGCTGAATTAGCCACAGCAACTCAAGAACTGAGTGCTGCCCCTACCCCTGTAAGGGTGTATCATATTTATCCTTGTAAATATTCTCTCCAGTCTGCTGACCAGTGAGAGATGGGGTCAGCCACAAGTTCCACTTGTTACAACAAGAGGCTACAAGCTGTAACCTGCAGCAGCTACGCCCTTACCCCCCTCACCAAGTATTTTAGTGTACTCAGCATTGGTTAAATCCATTAGTGAAGAATGTGCATGATCTCTGATGGTCAGCCTGGTCTGCCTGCTCATACTATCCAGCCATCGCCTCAGCTGTGCCTGCTGAGGTGGGAGTGAGATGGCCAGACAAAACACTACTTCAGCCATCACAGCTGGATCAGCTTGTGTCTGCAAACTATTGAGTTGCATGTACACATTCAACAAAGCTCAGTGAGCAATATTTCACAAAAACATGTGAAATAGTCCTGTATTTGCTCTGGATAGTATTATATAAGTTTTGGGTTTTTTTACTTTGATCATAAGCTTTGTAAGAAAACATGTGAGCAGCATGTTACTCGGGCTAAAAATGGTGCAGGTATTTAGGAGTGCTGGGAAATGCATTTTCTCAGTATTGTTTGAAGCAGGGGGCTGATGAAAAAGGAGAGGTGTCAGTCATGCTGACCCATTCTTCTGGTGCTCAGTAAGAGAAAGAAAAAAGCCAGAAACCTCTTCCTCAGCTTTTCAAAGGTCTCAGCACTATTTGGAATCATATAATGGTTTATGTTGAAAGAGACCCTTAAGGTCACCCAGTTTCAGCCCTGCTGCCTTAAGCAGGGACACCTTCTAGTAGGTTGCTCAGAGCCCAGTCCAACCTGACCTTGAAAATTTTCAGGGATAGGAACCTGTTCCAGTGTTTCATCACCCTCATAGTGAAGAATTTATTCCTCATCTAGTCTAAACCTACCCTCTTTCAGTTTAAAGACGTTATCTTTGTCCTATCTTTAGGAGTGTTTATTTTTCAGTTTTGGAAGGTGTTTGGAGGTAATGCCAGAAAAAATGAAGGAACTGAAAGATGTGAGGCCATGACTGTGTCACTTGACATCCTGCCTCAACCCATGCAAGCAGAGAAATAAAGACACGTCTGCTCCTGTTTTCTACATACACCCACTTAGAGAACACAGACCCATTAAAGCTGAGCCAGACAGATATCTTTTCTTTAATTAGCTTGTCCTTTTAAGAGTCCCAGGAAAATTATTATAAGAAATGCCATATGATTGCCCAAGAACAAATGAGATATGCTTTTAAACACCCTTTATTACTAATATTGCATAAGCATTCCAACAATCAAATCTAACAGTTTGTTATCATAGTTGCAATCCCTTTGGCTTAGTAGCAGCAAGATGAATAGCATGTCATATCTCTTATCAGCAAATAGCTGTCTGCCTTTGTAAACAAAACTGTCAAGACTGATTCTCCATACACATTTGCAAATGATACTCATTGGTTATGTGTCTTGTGGCACATTCATGTGCTGCCAAGGGTATGCTACCCTCTCATCAGTTTTATACGTTACCAAAATCATAATATTGCCAAGGAACAGGTAGGTACCTTGCCAACTGTGGCTTGATTTCACCAATGTCTTCTACAGATCCCTGATGAAAAACCTGCTTGTTATCTAGTTTAGAAATATTCAAACCTAGCATGTAAATGAGAAATAAATGTGATATCCTGATATTCAGCCTGCTCCAAAAAGCCCTGTGTCCTCATCCCAGCACCAACATTTTACTTACTGTCTGGCCAGAAGGAATTCAATTTCTTGTCTCAGTTTAGTTGTATGCAATATGATAATAACATCACTTTTTCAGTGGTGGAAGAGAGTAAATTAGATGTAAAGTGTACCCAATGCTCTAATGATATAGAGCAAAATATGAACTTATAGTATAAGTTCAACCCCCCCCACCCCACCCTTTGACATTTAATGTTTTTTGAATTTTATTTATTCTGCATAATAAATGCAGAGGATAAAATCGATAGTCACATTTTTTAAAGGGTGGATTCCCTTTTTGTGATTTTTATATGGAAAAACCTCTGACCACACCACATAAACTATAATATATAATATATAAAATACTGATACTGAAATTGCTGTAATTTTGTTGCTTTCACTTACAGAAGTAGGCTTATTCTTTGTATGAAAGCAACTATCATGCTAGTTTTGACATTTTATGTAAATGATGTATAATAAAGTAATGTCATTTCAACAGAGAATTCTAATTAGTTGCCAGTAACACGATATAGTCTAGTATTATTACAAATATTGTGTGTGAGGAGAACTGCCTTGTTCTCATTACAGGAACTAAAACCACAGAGCATCACATTTCTCAGTATTGTACCAGAGGAATGTAGGAGCACACTCATGACCACATTAGGGAATGGCACTAACAAGAGAATCAGTAACAGA